CTGTACAACATCAGGAAGATCAGACCTTACCTGTCAGAACTACACAGCTCCTGGTACAGGCTCTTGTGATATCACACATCGATTATTGCAACTCTCTTCCTACAGTCACTATCAAACCTCTGCAGATGATACAAAATGATACAAAAAGCAGCAGCACGACTGGTCTTCAACGTTCCTGAAAGAGCACATGTCACTCCGCTGTTCATCTCCTCACACTGGCTCCCAGTTACTGCTCACATCAAATTTAAAACTCTGCTGCTCGATTACAAAACAGCGACAAAAACGTCTCCTCCTTACTTTAACTCTCTGATCCAGGTCTACACTCCCCCCCCCACTACGCTCTGCCAATGAAAGGCGTCTGATCCAACCTTCACACAGGGTCCTAAGTCTCTGACTAGACTCTTCTCTCTGTCGCCCGGTGGTGGGAATGAACTTACAAACTCCCTCTGCACCTTTAAGAAAAAGCTAAAGACCCAGCTCTTTCATGAATACCTACTAACTTAATGATGATGGTCTCCATATTATTGATGATGATGATGGTAATGACGATGGTTTTTGTTTGATAACGACGACTTATAAGATGGTTTCTATACTGATTAGAGCTCTCAAGAACTGCCCTCAATGTTGTGCTTTGCCTCTGGTCACTTCCTGTCAGCACCTGTGTGTCCAATCAGACTCAAAGCTGATCGTTTGCTCTTACTTACTCTCTGATGTACGCTTTGGATAAAAGAGTCTGCTAAGTGAATTGTAGGATTTTGCATTTCTGCATCGGCTTCATTTCTCAACACTAGAGGCTGGCGTTTGATATTGAGGTGTCTTTGCGCTGGAATATCATCAGGACAATATTCTTTGAGAATTGAACCGGGAGACGGAGCAGATAGTTAGGTAGCAGTCATTGTGTGTTAGACGTGTTTATTCTAGACGACATTTAGATGGTATCAAAAACTGTTTCTGCTTCAGTTGTGTTGGTCTTCACTCACATCTCGGGCGATCCAGTCCTCCAGCTCTTGTCCCGGAGGGTGAAGCTGCCTAAGCTTTCTCTCTTGGCCAGTCGTTCCTCCCTCGGGACCTTGTGTTCCCTCAGAGTCACCCCGGGGTGTTTCTGCTCCAGCTGGGACAGCTGCTCCATGCTGCTGTACACCTGCAGAGAGAAGGGAAGGTGTGAGTGTTACATGTGCTCAGGGATGACACATCTAGTTAAGGAAAGGAGGAAGGAGGGAAGTTGGGATGAGACCTTGCTGAATCGAGGGGAGCAGGAGGAGAAGCAGTGGATCTCCACAGGTTCATCGTCGTTGGTGTCCTCCTCGTCGTATGAGTGCACGTGATGGTAGCGCTCAGATCGGGCTGCGGAGGAAAGGACAAAAGATGTTGATGACTCAGAAGTCCCTGAGCTGTTTGTATGAAAAAGATTTTCCAGAGCTCAGAGGGGTCTGATGTTGGTGCCTCATCCCCCCCACCTCCCCCTCCCCACACTGTAGACTTACTGTCAAAATAACTGGTGTCTTCCTCCGACTCCAGATGAGGAATAAACTCTGCCTTCTGTCTCAGCAGGCTGTTCCAGTTCACCTCCGTGAAGAAAGAGTGCTGCCTCACTTCAAAAGCACCACCTGGAGGGACGAGGGAGAGAGAGAGAGAGAGGGACGAGGACGAGGGAGTGAGAGAGAGAGAGAGAGAGGACGAGGGAGAGAGAGAGAGAGAGAGAGGGACGAGGGAGTGAGAGAGAGACAGAGAGAGAGGGACGAGGGACGAGGGAGTGAGAGAGAGACAGAGAGAGAGGGGCGAGGGAGTGAGAGAGAGAGAGAGAGGGACGAGGGAGTGAGAGAGAGACAGAGAGAGAGGGAGGGGAGTGAGAGAGAGAGAGAGAGAGAGAAGAGAGGGGAGGGAGGAGAGAGAGAGAGAGAGAGGGACGAGGGAGAGAGAGAGAGAGAGAGGGACGAGGGAGTGAGAGAGAGACAGAGAGAGGGAGAGGAGAGGGAGTGGAGAGAGACAGAGAGAGAGGGCGAGGGAGTGAGAGAGAGAGAGAGAGGACGAGGGAGTGAGAGAGAGACAGAGAGAGAGGGACGAGGGAGTGAGAGAGAGAGAGAGAGAGAAGAGGGAGAGAGGGGGAGAGAGAGAGAGAGGAGAGGGACGAGGGAGTGAGAGAGAGAGAGAGGGACGAGGGAGAGAGAGAGAGAGAGGGACGAGGGAGCGGGAGCGAGAGAGAGAGAGAGAGAGAGGGACGAGGGAGCGGGAGCGAGAGAGAGAGAGAGAGGGAGAGAGAAGAGGAGAGAGAGGGAGAGAGAAGAGGAGAGAGAGGGAGAGAGAGAGGGAGAGAGAGAGAAGAGGAGAGAGAGGGGAGAGAGAGGGACGAGGGAGAGAGAGAGAGAGAGGGACGAGGGAGCGGGAGCGAGAGAGAGAGAGAGAGAGAGAGGAGAGAGGGGAGAGAGAGAGGGAGAGAGAAGAGGAGAGAGAGGGAGAGAGAAGAGGAGAGAGAGGGAGAGAGAGAGAAGAGGAGAGAGAGGGAGAGAGAGAGGGGAGAGAGAGGGGAGAGAGATAGAGAGAGAGAAGAGAGAGAGAGGGAGAGAGAGAGGGGAGAGAGAGGGGAGAGAGATAGAGAGGGAGAGAGAGAGGGAGAGAGAGAAGAGGAGAGAGAAGAGGAGAGAGAGGGAGAGAGAGGGGAGAGAGGGAGAGAGAGAGAGAGGGAGAGAGAGAGGGAGAGAGAAAGGAGAGAGAGAGGGAGAGAGAGGGGAGAGAAGAGGGTGGAGAGGAGGAGAGAGAGAGAGAGCGGAGGAGGAGAGAGGAAGAGAAGAGGAGAGAGAGGGAGAGAGAAGAGGAGAGAGAGGGAGAGAGAAGAGGAGAGAGAGAAGGAGAGAGAGGGAGAGAGAAGAGGAGAGAGAGGGAGAGAGAAGAGGAGAGAGAGAAGAGAGAGAGAGAGAAGAGAGAGAGGGAGAGAGAGAGGGGAGAGAGAGAGAGATAGAAAGAGAGAGAGAGGGAGAGAGAGAGGGGAGAGAGAGAGGAGAGAGAGATAGAAAGAGAGAGAAGGAGAGATGTTTGTGCAAGTGTGAAAACTAGAATAATATTTTAATGCTTTTTAAAAACAGCTGATATCTGTAGTGTCTATAAAGCTCGACCGATTGCAGTGACCCAGGAAGAACAAAAACCTGGAGACGTCAGGTAGAGACACATTGGTGTAGGTGATTTGATTTCCCCGTCTTTCTGTCCCTGTTATGACTCAAAGAGCTTTTTTATTCTGGCTTTATTTACCTGTTCCCAGTCGAACCAGTGGATTGGTCTGCAGGAGTGAGGAGATCAGATTCTGAGCATCAAGGGGGAGAGATTCTTCTCCTTCTGGCCACACGATGTCATCTATAAGAGAGAGCAGAAAGCAAAGATTAAAAACACACCTCTCACAGTTCTGTGTAGTAAACACTGGATGTTGTCTCACCTGTGATGACCTGTCCAAACAGCTCCTCTGGAGTGTCTCCAAAGAACGGCACACAGCCCACCAGGAACTCATACAGGATGATCCCCATCGCCCACCAGTCCACCGGCTTCCCATAACCCTGACGGAGAATCACCTCCGGGGCGATGTACTCTGGAGTCCCACACACCTTAAAGACACACACACACACACACACACACACACACACACACACACACACACACAGCCCTGAGGATTACACACTTTACCCTCCTGAGTTCTGAAATAAACACACTTTTCAGATTTGAGAAACCAGCTGGTCTCCTCTGTGAGCATGTGTTGGGACACAGCTGACCCTGAGATAGAGGCACGTGTGTGTGTGAAGCGTATTTCAACCTGGCTCATTACAGAGATGCCAAGACAAGATGAAAGCCTGGTGAAGCTTTTTCATATGCAAATGAGTACGCACTGAACGCTAACAGACCTCTGGCTGCTGTGATTCCAAACTCAGGAAATAATGAGGATTACATTCAAAGCATGAACACCTTATCAAAGAAAAGAGATTTTAATAACTAAAGAAAGAGAACAGTAATGTCTGCCAACACGATGTGGAGATCATCTCAGGATGGAAATGAAGTCATCAAAGGGACGTTCATGTTTAAACTTCACTTGGATCATCATGAGGAGGAACACGATGTGATTATTAAAGGAGCAGTATGGGGGGCGCTGGTGGCGCAGTGGTTAGAGCGCGCACCCCATGTATGGAACCTATAGTCTTCCGAGCGGGCGGCCCAGGTTTGAATCCAGCCTGTGGCTCCTTTCCCGCATGTCATTCCCCTCTCTCTCTCTCCCTGATTTGCGACTCTATCCACTGTCCTATCTCTACATTAAAGGCACAAAAAGCCCCCCAAAAAAGATTAAAGGAGCAGTATGTAACTCTGACACCTAGTGTTTAAAATGGGTACTGCAGTCTAAATTCTAAAGATCATAGAGAGCTGTCTCCCCCCCCTCTCTAGAGTGGATGCTCACTCAGGTCACCATGTGGTGGACTCTGAAGCTTCAGTGTTTATCCAGCTCTGCATGGGTCTGTAAACCTTTCTGTGTTCTAACCTCTCTCCATTTTTCAAAAGCATCTCCAATATTGATCCTAGTTTGAGCACGTTTCTGCTCGTGGAGCTTATTAGAAACATGCAGAGGCTTTTTAGGTCGGGTACAATCACTTCTATCTGAACCACTTCTCTTGACCGCTTCCATCGCTGCAACACCTGTTGACCTGATAACTGCTCTCATATCTGACAAACCGAGGGGTGTCTAAAACGGCCGTATGGGGGGGTCTTAAAAGCGCCTACCTTCTCTGGTCCAAACAAATCCAGAGCATTCAGGAGCAGAATCTAAAGTTAGAAGGAGGACATACTGGCTGCTGCATTGACAGAGACATTAAATTGTACTGTAGACTGTTTTTTTTTCTTCTCCTACCTGTTTATCCAGGAACTCTCGAGTGTCCTTCTCGATGTGTCCTTCATACAGGTTGGTGGTCAGACTCATCAGACCCATCTTAGAAAGACCAAAGTCTGTGAGCTTGATGTGACCCATCGAGGTAATCAGGAGGCTGAGAACAGAAACAGAACACTTGAGTACAAACTTCCTGTAGAGTAAATTCCACCAGGCAACGTTTAGCGTGAGTATTATTTTGTCTTACTTGTCGGGTTTGAGGTCGCGGTGCACAATGCCGTAGTTGTGTAAGTACTCCAAAGCGAGGATGGTCTCTGCAAAGTACATGCGTGCCATTTCCACGGGCAGAGCCCCGATGTTCTTCAGCAGAGTGGCACAGTCTCCTCCTGTCGGCACAAAGTCTCTTTACTGTTAGGGCTCGCTGCTGACATTAGCAATTACCACAAACGTCTCCTGGTACCTCATGTCCAAGAACATCTTGGTTTCTATAAAGAGCGATGAGTAACACGCTCAACAATCATGACAGCTCTGCGACCTTAAATCTGTCGGCATGATGACTGCTCTTTGAGTCATTCTGGTAAAAATATTCCATGACTTAAGAAGTCTGAACTCCTCTTTAAAATGTTTTATACTGACAATTACACAACAACAATTTGTAAGGCAGCTGAGGAGGTGCAAAAAGCCATTTGTAAAACTTGAGTATTGTAAATGACCTTGTAGTACCCTGATGGCCCAGCAGGGGGCAGCAGACCACACTGGGAATCACTGCGCTACATTTGAAAAAACAGTTGTGTGGATTTGGGGCATTGCTAAAAAATGAATGTTTACACTTAGAAGAGTAACAGGAGTCCGGCCAGGAGATATCTGAGGACGACTGGAATGACATTTTGAACAATCAGGTCATAACAACCTGTTCAAGGGACTGACAGGAATTCTGCTGGAAGAACTTAATTTGTTTCTTTATCATCCCAAAGTTGAAGTTTTTGCAGCAGGGTTCTCAGGGTCAGAACAAATGTTGGAGGCAATGTGATAAATCAATGGCAGATCACTTTCATGTATTTTGGGATTGCTCACAGGTCCAGCCATTTTGGAAGGAGGTTACAGAAGTAATGAGTGTTATGTTTAGAATAAATGTGGACTGCTCTTTTATCATTCTATACCTGGGCAAAATCCCGGACAATCTCATGTCAGACGATAAATATCTCTATAAAGTCCTTCTGGTTGCAGCTAAGAAAGCAATCACACGGAGATGGCTGCAGGCAAAACCCCCATCAAAGGATGATTGGTTAGCAATAATCAACGAAATACACGGCATGGAGAGACTGACCTTCTCATTAAGGCTAAAGTTTGACCAATATATAAAAGTCTGGAAGAACTGGAATATGTACTGTACGGAATGTAACTCTTCTTAACTGAAAAACCCTGATTTGTGTATTTTGACTAATGTATGGCCCGTGTTACCTTTTTTCTTTTTTTAATTTTTTATTCCCCTCTTTTCTTTTGTCTTGTTTTACTCTGAAAATATCAAAAAGAAAGTATCAAAAAAAAAACACACACACACACACACACACACACACACACACACACACACACACACACACACACTTCTCACCTTCCACGTACTCCATGACCATGCAGAGGTGGCGCCGTGTTTCGAAGGAGCAGAACATGGAGACGACGAAGGGATTCTCAGCGAAGGTGAGGATGTCTCTCTCCACGAAGGCCTGCTGGATCTGATTCCTCAGGATCAGGTTCTGCTTGTTGATCTTCTTCATCGCAAACCGCTGACGAGTCTCCAAGTGGCGCACCAGGTACACAGCACTGAACGCACACATACAAACATACACTTTATTTAAACTCTGCTGCTCCTGTGCTGCTTAGTAAAGAGGTTTCTTTACAGGATCAGAGATGAGACGGTTCATCACTTTAAAGTCAATAATAAAATAAACATGAGATTCTTCTGCTCTGCTCACCCGTAAGCTCCGTTACTGATCAGCTTGATCATCTGGAAATCTGCTTCTCCAGGTGGTTTCATCGCTCTAATTTTACTCTGTGAATCAAAACAGAGAGAGAGTGTGACAAAAATCTAATCACACAATTAAAACAAAGCACACAAAGCGATCAAATAAAACAGCTGTTATCAATAAAACATATAAAATCACAGTCAGCAACAACTGGACGGTCAATAAACTCAAATAAAATACGGAAAAGTGCTCAGATTGAAGTGTCAGATCATGTCAATGGATGATATTTCCCAGGGAGGAGCATGTAGAGAGAGAAAAAAAAAAAGAGTCCAAAAACAGTTCCCTGTGGGACACCATACTTTACAGGACCACTTTAAAGCACCTGGTTCCCCTCTAGTGATTATTGTAGAGACATTACTACTACACAAAGTACAACTGTTGTTAGCAAGAATTAAACACCTAAAGGAAGAACGTTCAACTTTTTGATCCAGTAGATGTCACCCTTGAGCACCAGCATGAAACCAAAACAAACTGCTGTTTGGCCACACCTCCTCCATCCTGAGGCCTCCGCTCTCCTCCAGAGACACACCTCCAATCCCCCTCCTCTCATGTATGCACGGAGGAGTTTAGCGCAAACGGCGGACAAAAATGTCCTTTGCCAGCTGCTGTAAACACGGCTCTTACAACAACACAGCCAGCAGGACTCGAGCTTCTCACTCATTGTAGACAGTCATGACTCAGAGACACATTTACACAGAACAGACTTGATATCTGATATATTCATGTGTAACATCTTATGCTCTCTATGTAAGCCATTTCTCCCAGTTTGCAGAGGTTATGTGTGTTAACATTGTTTATAAATCAGACATCTTTTATTCATCAGTTATTCTTCATCCTGTGTGACTCTGTTGATGTACATTTGAACTTTATGTTAAAATAACTGTGCTGAGTCATCACTTCTCGACCACACTCGTCCATTATTTTGTCCACTTAACTTAATTTTCTCGTTTGGAAGTTTGCCTAATGCTGGATTCATGTCCTGAGGGGAAGGAGTTGGAGGGGTAGGGGGGTTTCCTGTTTTATTTTTTAGCACTTCAGCACAAATTAGCTAAATTAGACGGATGCAAGAATTTATGCCGAGTCATTCTCAGGTGATGCGAACATTTTCAGTGGAAGCAGCATTAACACCAGGCACAACAAATCCAGAGTTATAGTTCACCTCCAGTTTTAAAAATGCAGCATCACTATGTCCTGAGGATTAAAGAGACAGATTCTTTATCATCAGACAAAACACATTTTTAGTTGAAAAAAAAGAAGATGGGTGGGCATAAAGGGATCGGCTCGAAATCTATTTCTTTTCCAAGCGTAAACAGACGTTCATGTTTTTGCTCATCTGTGCAGCTCGATATTTCATGTTTCTGACACTCATAGGTCAGGTGACACGTGCGGGACGATACCTTGATCCAGAAACATTTGTTCTGCTAACGTTAGAAACGTCTGTCTGAATGAGTAGACCGGACTTTTAATCGATTCTCACCTCTGTGGAGTCGTCTGTTTCAGGTGTCAGAGGCCCCTCGCTGTCGTAGCTCTCCAGGTTAACCATCTCTGGAAAACAGAAACAAGAATAACTTCTTTATACTGAAACAAGAGTTCGCTGAGTCAAACAGCTCAGAGGAGGAGGACGACAGACACAGAAAGATTATCTGAAGATACAGTTGGGGAGCCGGTAGCCGACTGGTCAGTACTCGCCCATGGCTAAAGTCTTCCCGGGTTCAAACCAGACCTTTGGCTAAAGGTAACGGGACATTTGATCATGAAAACTTGCGCTGCTCTGAATAACTCTGAGGTTTTCTACACTCCTGCACTTTAACTTATGTATCACTGATTGCACAGCTCCCTATGTCAAAACTGTCCATTTACATCGACCTCTTTAATCTTTTCATATTTAAGAGTAGAATTAATGCTTAGTTAAATCCTGGTTGTATATATTCTCATTCTTAGTTTTGATATTTTTAGTGATTTTTTTTACTTTGTATTTAATATTATATTGTGCTTAAATTTCCTAATATTGTGTTTTTTGCTCATATTGTGTGTTTGGACAACCTGCTGCTGTAACGCCACAATTTCCCAGTTTGGGATCAATAAAGTCATTCTATTCTATTCTATTCTATTCTATTAATCCTACGCCGTCTGGAGTCTCCGTGATCAGAGCTCTTTTGCTACTGGATCTTTTTTTTCTTTTTAAAGATTTATTTTTTGGCTTTTTGTGCCTTTAATGTAGAGATAGGACAGTGGATAGAGCTGGAAACCAGGGAGAGAGAGAGAGTGAGGAATGACATGCAGGAAAGGAACCACAGACTGGATTTGAACCCGGGCCGCCTGCTTGGAGGACCACAGCCTCCGTACATGGGGCGAGCGCACTAACCACTGCACCACTGCACCACTGCACCACCAGCGCCCCTGCTACTGGATCTTTTGAGAGTTTAAAGCATCTCAGGACGAGTACCGAGAAATACGACGGATGTCTGCTCAGACGAGTCGTTACAAAACAAATCGCCCTGATAACATCTCAGTTCAAACCTTTGATCCTGGATAAACATTTCTGACTCCGCCCCCCTCACCTTCGATGGGGTCTCTGGTCAGCCCCAGCTGGCTGATGATGTAACGAGGGATGTCCGTCTTCATCAGGTGACCCTCCTTGGCGTGATCCTCGGCCGCCTCCAGCAGATGGTAGAACTCCTCGGGGTTAAACTCCTGCAGACCAGAGGGGGGGGGGGGGGGGGGAGAAAGGATGACGTCATGAGGCGGAGGGATTCAGAGTGGTTTAATTAACGATGACATTAACGAGGAGATTGGATTTCTGCCCGGGAATATTGCTTCCAGATTCGTCGATTTGAATGTGAATCAGGAAACAGTTTGCAGGAGAAATTAAAGAAAAATATGAGATGCCTCGGACTTGTATTTTTGTTGCCATGGTAACAAACATGTATTGATATTGTTTGATTTTTTCCTAGTTTCGTATCAAAGATTAAAACCCTACGCCCCTGTATCCTCGTCCTCCTGATCTTTAAATTAGCGTCAGGGAGGTTTTTAGGGGCGGAGCTGAAAGCCGCGAAACGTTTCTCTACGCTCCCTCATTCAGATGCAGCGGCGTGCAGAAAACGAAGGCGGAGGAATCAATCTTCAGCGGTGCTGTTTTCAGCTTTCGCTCATAATCAGAAAACTCGTCGGAGTGGCATGACTCATCAAGACTGTTATGAAACACACACACACACACACACACACACACACACACACACACACACACACACACACACACACACACACACACACACACACACACACACACACACACACACACACACACACACACAATGTGTGTATCGTGTTTATTGAAAGAAAATCAATTTGTCTTCATTCAGGAGAAGGAGGTGAGCCGTGAAGGGGGGGGGGTTAATGATGGGTAAACACCAGAAGAGTCTCATCGTACCAGACACTCGAGGAGCCGGGCCGGTCGGGAGATGATGATGAGCAGCTTCTTCGCCAACTCGGTGACGAAGGCCACCTCGGAGCTCTCTGAACGCTCGAAGGCCTGACAGACGGAGACACAGAGACAAAGTTTGAGTTATTAATAAAAAACAATCAGACACAGAAAGGTCTCTGAAAGCAGCACGGCAGGTTGATCTAATCAAGCTGCTTAAATCGAGTCTTTGATGGAGACACCTGATACCTGATATCTGCTCCAATAATCAGGAGCTCAATTAGCCCCCATCAACCCCACCCCATCCCCCTCTGCTGTTTAAACCACGTCTGTCACAAAGGCATCAGAAGTGAAAATGAAATGAAGATTTAAACGTCTCTAATCCAATTTCATCTGAAAAATTAGATCTGGAGAAACTTACCAACCCTGCCTTTAAGACATGTAAGCACATTATTTTCATTCGACATTTTTGAGGTGGGAGCCAAAGTTCTCAAATGTTGAAACTTCTTTCTCTGAATAAGGCGACAGCACACTCGTGCAAGCCCCAGCATCCTCTAAACGACAAAATGGGTGTGAAGAGCAACTTTCCCTGACAATAATGAAGTAAGGGTCGGTGTGAATCCCTTTTTGTCACAAAGGAGTGCATACTTCACGATCTACTCCAGTCTACTTTGAACTTTGATATTTGAGAGTTTCAAACTATTTTATGGCATTAAAAAGCTCAGAGATGTGTTAAAAATATTGCAGCTTTTATATTTATAACATTATTATCAGCTGAATGTAATAATGTCAATGACATTCACATCCTCACTCACATCCTGCAGGAGCTTCTCCAGGTTCTCCTGCAGCTCGAAGAAGTAGACCGACGTGATGAGACCCTCTCGGGCTTTGGCCAGGCAGTCTCTGGAGAGCTCGGCGATCTGGTGGTGAATGAAGCTGAGGACGCCGTCAGCCAGCGGGAGAACGTTTTCGGGAGAGAACGTCTGAATGAACTCGTTGAGCCGCCCCTCCATCTGAGCCGTGGCCTGGCGAGGGAGATAAAGACAGCGTCAGCAGGAAATGATCACTGTTAAATATTTCTGTCAGCTTGGTGAACGTTTCCTTTTCCTTCATTCATTTAGTTCCTGCAGAAAATGGCTCCAAGGCCCACTTTTGGGTCCCGCCCCACCAGTTGAGAACCACCACTTTTAGAGGACCCACTGTGCATTTCTTCCAGTTGACTCAAAGAGCTTTCACCTTGTTTGAACTCTAAAATCATAAAGCCCTAATTCCCTAAAAGTCTGGTTTGTTTATCGCTTGTGGAGGCTTTCAGCTCGTTTCCTTCAACACGACCGAAGCGTGCACAAAAAATTTAAAAAAAGAGCCAAAGAAGGAAATCTCTTTTGTCCAACTCTTTCTAGCTGTTGAAGTATTTATAAGTGCAGTGAATGCACTTCATGCTCCCTCTGACAGGGCGAACTTATCGCGTCTTGGCAGTGCAGTATAATCTTGTTTGTTATGGTTCAGCAGCCCCCACGGCTCCTTTATTTAAACCATTCATTCATATAAATCTGAGCATGTTTGATCTGAAATTATTCCCCTTTTTATTCCTCTGATACTTCAGTTCTGACTTGATAGGATTAGGCAGTAAGTGATTTAAAATGGGTAAAATGCTCTGCAGGCCTACGGATATATCTAACTGTCTTGTTTGTTTTTGTGCAAAAGATGAAAAGAAGGAGGTTTGTGTTTCACCTTTGGAAAACGCTCTTTGTACACGTGGTTCATCATCACGATCTCATTATCGAAGCAGGAGGAGGAACGTCCCGGGCTGAGGAGAAAAACAGACTACTGAAATTAATCATTTATAGATTTTAGGTTTAAAGGAGCAGTATGTAAGTCTGACACCTAGTGGTTAAAATGGGTACTGCAGTCTAAATTCTAAACATTGTAGAGAGCTATCATTTCACTCACTACACATCTCACTGATTGGAACTTTTATTATTGAATCCAGGTTGTTAATAAAAATATAAAGTGTTACATTTCTTCTATTTCCTGTTTCGTTTCAGGTCTAAATCAAATTCTAACATATTTGAGATGTTTTTGGCTTCAAACAGAAAAATCAAGGTCGGTTACATAAAATCAATAACAGGATCAAGCGGGTGCAGCCCCTGTAAATCTGCTTTGGAAGCGTCCTTTAAAAAAAAAAAAAAGAGGAGGGTGGAGGTTTAATCTCTTGGCCGCCCGCCTGACCTGAGGCTGCGGGAGCGTGGGCGCATGTGGGGGGAGCAGCGCCCCCCATCGTCGTCCGTGATGCTCTCGGTGCTGCCAAAGTGTTTGGATAAGAAGTGGAGCTCGTCCATGGTGGGCTGGAAGGGAAGCTGGTGCAGCCGCTCCTGAGAGGAACTGGAGGACTGGAGTGAGGGAAGAGGAAGAGGAAGAGGAAGAGGAAGAGGAAGAGGAAGAGGAAGAGGAAGAGGAGGAGGAAGTGGAAGAAGAGGAGGAGGAAAAGGAAGTGGAAGAGGAAGACGAGGAAGAAGAGGAGGAGGAAGAGGAAGAGGAAGTGGAAGAAGAGGAGGAGGAAAAGGAAGTGGAAGAGGAAGACGAGGAAGAAGAGGAGGAGGAAGAGGAAGAGGAAGTGGAAGAAGAGGAGGAGGAAAAGGAAAGGAAGTGGAAGAAGAGGAGGAGGAAGAGGAAGTGGAAGAAGAGGAGGAGGAAAAGGAAAGGAAGTGGAAGAAGAGGAGGAGGAAGAGGAAGTGGAAGAGGAAGTGGAGGAAGAAGAGGAGGAGGAAGAGGAAGAGGAAGTGGAAGAAGAAGAGGAGTAGGAAGAGGAAGTGGAAGAAGAGGAGGAGGAAGAGGAAGTGGAAGAGGAGGAGGAAATGGAAGAGGAAGAGGAGGAGGAAGTGGAAGAGGAGGAGGAAGAGGAAGGAGGAGGAAGAGGAGGAGGAAGAGGAGGAGGAAGTGGAAGAGGGAGGAAGAGGAGGAGGAAGAGAAGGAGGAAGAGGAAGAGGAGGAGGAAGAGGAAGGAGGAGGAAGAGGAGGAGGAAGAGGAAGAGAAGGGAGAGGAGGAGGAAGAGGAAGAGGAAGAGGAAGAGGAAGAGGAGGAGGAAGTGGAAGGAGGAGGAGGAAGAGGAAGATGAAGAAAACGAGAACATTAGAGCGGGAGGAGAGGAACAAATGCCTGAAAATTAATGACAAAACTGAAACTGAAAACTTAAACCTAAATATTAACGATGAAGCCGGATTGACTCGTCTGTTTCTACCGATGAAAACGCAAAGTCGTTGTTACCGTGGAGCTTGGCGTGTTGGTGCCATATCCAGACGAGGGCAGAGAGGCTAAAGACCAGCGTCGTCCGTCAGCTCTGCAGAGAACACAAATATTAAATCATTAAAAAACGGACAATTGAGTCATAGGACATATGTCATATTCTTAAAGAAACTGTTTGGGAACATCTCAGTCTCTGCTGCACATAAACATAAAGTTGGATATGATACTCGAGTCCACCGCCATCGGACTGTGTCGTCCCTAAACCTGCTGAAACTCTCAGCTCTTTTAAATCGAGGTTGAAGACACACCTGTTTACAGCTGCCTTTCATTAAACAGCTTTAACAAGATTTTAAACTCTAACCCTGCACTGTAATTATTATTATTATTAATTTTTTTTTTAACTCTTTTAATTTCTTTACTTTTATTTTTTTTAATTTAAATTAATTTCATTTGAATTATTTTTACTTGAACATATTTTCAGATTTAATAATTTCAGTGATTTTTAAATGTTCTATTTTAATGTTTTCTTTTCTTTCCTCTGTCATGATGCTTTTTATTTCTTGTGTGAAGCACTTTGAATTGCCTTGTTGTTGAAATGTGCTACATAAATAAACTTGCCTTGCCTTAATTTTTATATCTGTATGTTTATTCCTTCGTACAAAACACAAGCCTCGTTTGAGAGTAGATCCTGAAAACAAAGAGTGTCTACCTGCTTTAGAAAAAAGGATTAAATAAACAAGTAAACAAACACCAACATGGCCACCTGTTCACACGCCTAGCGGGCAGTGTGTTGCTGAAGCAGCTTGAATAAAAACGCAGGGACACTGAGGATGTCATGTCCTGGCTCTGTCCTCCATGAGTCAGCCTGCGCGGTGTGCAGGAAGAGGCTCCCTGCTCACCAGGATGTGTGAGACCTCGACCGACTGCAGACCCACACCTCGTCTGTTCTCTGACGCTCACGCTGACATCAGCTCTAATCGTCTTTCTTCTGCTCAGCTCCCTCAAACATTGCAAACCTGTTTGTAGTACCCCAGGCTGGCTACACACCAGACGATGTTAGGCCCTATTTTAAAACTCACTGAGCTTTATTTATCCAGTAGCAAAGCCCTTTTTTTATAAGGTTTATGTTTGGCCTTTATTTAGAGATAGGACATTAAATAGAGTCAGAAATCGAGAGAGTGGGACAGGTAGCAAAGAGGGCCATAGGTCAGAATCAAACCCGGACTGCCAGCTCAGAGGACTTCAGCCTCTGCACATGGGACGTGCACGTTCACCACTAGGCCACCGACCCCCTAAAGGAACCTTTGTTCTAACACCACTTCAGCGCACCACATACGTCTTCCTCCGCCTATTTCCCAGAGCAGACTGATAATGAAATCATGATTTTTTGTCGTGTTTCAAAGCAGTGACCTTCTGGAGGAGGCGAATGAGAAGTGTGCCGGGTTGCTCGGAGAGAAGTTTCTTGGGCTGTCCAGAGGGCTGCTTCCTGCGGGGACAAAGAGACACACAGAGAGACGATGAGAGACGAGAAGCACAAAGAGTCTAAAATGAGATTAGAGAAAGATTCAGCTCTTTCTATCGTTTACCACATGGACAAAGAAAAAGAAGGAAGGGAGACAGCTCTCCTTAATGTTTGGACTGCAGTACCCATTTTAACCACTAGGTGTCAGAGGTACATATTGCTCCTTTAAAGTCTTTCTATGTGATTTTTTACACTTAAATGTAGAAATCAAGTATCTCCTCTGAAAATAACTCTGTGAGTCATGACTGTCTACAATGGGTGTAACACCCGAGTCCCACTGTCTGTGATGTTTTCAGAGTTTTCAGAGTCCTATCTTCAGTTTGTTTACATCGTCAGGACAGCCGGCTGACTCCTCCCCTCGTGTATAAAAGTTGTTTAATTGAGGGACTAGAGAAAAGAAGAATAACATACTGTACTCACTGCTTAACTGTGTTTCTAGATCACGCTCATTTCAGGTCAATTTACATGCAGTGTGAAGATACCAGCATAATAAAGATCGCTAGCATTAGCATGCTAACACAACAATGCAGCACGAGTTGTTTTGGTTTCATGCTGGTGCTCAAGGGCGACATCTGCTGGATCAAAAAAATCACATATAAAGACTTTAATAAGTGTGTTTTAGAGTATGACTTCAGGTCAGACCCTGGCTATCTGTTTCCTCTGTTTTCATTCTTTATGTAAGCTAACTGAGAGTGGTCAAACTGTACATTTAAATACTTAAAGAGTTCTGGAGCACCAAGGTCAAAGGTCATCATTGTTATGATGTGTTCTGATACGTACCGAGGTGTCCAGGGAGCGGCAGAGGGGAGTGCGGGCGAGGCAGCGTGGGAGACGTGGTCGTCAGGATCAGGCTCTTCCTGTTGCTTGTACGACAACTACAAAGAAAACAAATAAAAAGAGAGAGAGAGAGAATGCATATTAGAAAAGGAGTTTATTACATTTACTTTGTTGAAGTACTTAGTTGTGCATTTTGCAGGAATATGTACAAAGAATCTGTGTCTGTATGGGCGCATAAGCAGCAGATATATGTGAATGCAGGGCTCGCTGCAGGAGCCAACAAAGATAAAAGGAATTCAATTTCCTTTAGTCATCCATCCCTGTCTGCCTGCCCCGAGCCGAGATAAGAAATGAGAGAGAGAGAACAAGAAGAGAGAGAGAGAGCGGCAGAGACAGAGAGAAATCAGCAACAAGCGAGAGAGAGAGAGAGAGAAGAAAGGAGCCAGATAAGAATCATAAAAAAATAATAAAATTCCAGGAACATTTATTTTTCTATGACTTCATGTTCTCATGGGCACTTAAAAGCTCACACTGAGTCACCTCGCAGATTCATCTCGCTCATGATGTCACTGCGTCTGACTAACAAACCATCAGGTGCTAAATTGAGCAGCAAGCTTTGAGGAGGCGTTGACAAATGAAGCCAACGTTGAAGAGAGAGAAACTGCAGTTCATCGAGTGACCACTAGAGGAACAAATAAAGAAACATGTTCACAGCCTGATTCATAAAACAGTTTTGGTCTCTTCAGCTCATTTCTTTTTTCATTCAAACTGACTTTAAAACAAAGTTTATGTCATTACTGAGGCGGTGATATAGGATTCAATTATTTTATTGGATATTTGTCAAGGTGTTAGTGAAGGTGAGATCCTTTAATTATTAACCTGGATATGAAGAAGCCTCAAAAAACACATCAATCATCAATGAAGATGTGTGTGTGTGTGTGTGTGTGTGTGTGTGTGTGTGTGTGTGTGTGTCTGGAGGAAATGCTGCTCACATGTGAACCCATGGGACGGCGGCTGAGAGGCCGACAGTTCTCTAAATCTGACAGAGATGTTTTTGTTTTGTTTTTTTGACACTGTCAGGATGCTCTGATTCTAAAACTCGTTGATCAGACTCTTTTATCCAAAGTGAAGAAGATTAGAGAGTAAGAACAACAGAAGCGCGGACCAGGAGACGAGGAAACAACATCAGTAGATTTCAGTCTTTGATCGGACCCACAGAGCAGAGCACTTTTTGGGTGGTTCTGAAAAGGCGCTGTGTCCCTTTGGTTGTCAGTCTGGAAAAGCCATAAAAGAAAGAGAGAGAGAGAGAGTTAAATAGAGTCAGACTGAGCAGCAGTTAGTCTTCTCAGTGCTGCAGGAAATCATCGTAGGCCGGCTGTAAACACAGAAACACAGAAAACCTGCCCGTGCATTTCTCCTCTCGTGTTCTGCTTCAGTGTAACATGTGGACACTAACAGCGAGTATGTACTTCAAGCATCCAGAGAGGAGGGTGGAAGCTGCTGATGCAGAGTCCAAATTTCAGAGTGAAGCCGGGGGGGATGAAGGGTGAGGAGAGGAGAGGGGGGAGACACACTTCACTGCACTTCACTCAGTAAATCTGGATTCTACTGGCTGTTGCTGAGGCCAGAGAGAGAGAGAGGGAGGGATGTGCAGACAGGAGAGAGGAGAGGAGGTATGCAGGAAGATAGCGTTTAGCATAGACGGTATAAATAATGGATGGAGCCCACGCTGACGTCACCCGTTGGTGTTTCTGAGCCTGAATGTGTGTCTACTTGCAGCTGCCATGTCGGTTTTTACTGGAGCCGAACGTGATCATATTTGGACATGAGGCCCGAGCTGAAGAGGAGTTAGAGGTCTTCAAAACACCAACATACCAAAGCTAGACTGTCTGTGCTCTAAGACAAACAAATTAACTTACCACACTTATAACGAGAACAAGTTCAGACAAAGGCACCATAAACACTTCAACTAATGTGTAACTTGGATGTAAACAAGCAAAGTAAACGGAGAGCATCGGACATGAGCAGCAATGATTTCTGTATGTTGTGCTGAGTCATGTTTAACTGACATATCAACCAGAGCAGTGCGTAACCACATTTAGCACGGCATCTACGTAAAACCTGCAGGGAGGACTGAAGCGATGCTAGCATGCTAACGTTAGCCACACTTAACAAACAATATTATTGTTTGTTTACCCTCAAACTAAAAGGTTTGTCTCATTTCTGACTATCTCCTGTGTTTTCTTACCTCTTGATTTTTGGTGGGGGTATTATACACATGGAAGTGTGAGAGATGACACGCCTTAAAGCCAGACTAACAGGAGCCTTCATCCTCTGCACCCTGCAGCACAGAGACCATTAACATCGATCACAGCTGAACGCCCAATCATATGAAACTAAAGAACAGTATCCAGGTTACAGAGAGGAAAGAGAGGTGGATCTAAGGCCATAATGGCTATAAGAGACTTCAAAGGGAGAAATGAAGAGGAGGGAGAACACTGCAGATGAGGAGGTGTGTTTATATGGAGGAGAAGGGAGTGACAGTGGAACATAAATCACTCATATTTATGAAAATGCAAAAAAGGTGTTTAGTTGAGTTCTAAATGTAGTGCTCATGAAGCGTGCATCGTTATTTCTTATGCAAATCTGTGGTGAGGTTTTAGGACAGTGTCTAAAGGCTGGCTCATTTTATTTTAGTTGTAAAAACAAAAGAAGTTTATTAGGTGTCTTCGACCCCGGAGGGAGAGGAAGTTTATTAGGTGTCTTCGACCCCGGAGGGAGAGGAAGGAGAGGAGCCAAGGGCACATGAGGTGTTGTTGTTAGGCAGCGATCAGGCTTCTAATAACGCCGACCAGGGACCACAGGGAGGGAGAGGCAGGAAGAAAAAACAATGTACAGTTTATATCACTTCAATCTAATCACCTGCTACTGGTCTTAATACAACAATAACCTACTTGGTGTAAAGTACAGCAGTAAAAGCAGTGTTTTGTAACCATCAATCAAGTTCCAATCAGTGAGCTGTGTAGAGAGTGAGATGATAAAGGTATCTTACTCTCTGATCATTAAGGAAACATGTCATGTTGAAGTGCTGGCTTCTCTGACAACAATGCAGCAGCCAGTATGTCCTCCTTCTAACTTTAGATTCTGCTCCTGAATGCTCTGGATTTGTTTGGACCAGAGAAGGTAGGCGCTTTTAAGACCCCCCCCCCACACAGCCGTTTTGGATGCCCCTCGGTTTGTCAGATATGAGAGCAGTTATCAGGTCAACAGGTGTTGCAGCGATGGAAGCGGGCAAGAGAAGTGGTTCAGATAGAAGTGATTGTACTCGACCTAAAAAGCCTCTGCATGTTTCTAATAAGCTCCACGAGCAGAAACGTGCCATGTCCAGTTTGGTTTGCTTTCTCTGAATCTTTTAACTTCTCTTAACCGCTGTCTCCACGTCTTCTTTTAACCTGTGTCGACCTCATTCATGCCGTAAGCTCCACCATGAGGAGTGACGCTGTGAGCCCAATTAGCAGAGAATTCTGTTTAGAGCGCCGTGCTTTCTAGATGTAAGTGTCAACAGCAATTCAATCATTTTAGGGTAAATTTTCAATTATTTTAATTTAAATGAAAAAAATAAAGCACAGAATTTAATTAGCACAATAAAAAAATAAAAAATGTACCCTTTCATTTTAGGGTAAATTTTCATTTACAATCATTTTGTCCTTCCTCTCGTCAGTACGGTGAATCAGACATTATTTCAACTCTGTTTAAAGTAGTTAATCCAACAGAAGCTGTGCAGCTGGTCACGCACGCCGCAGTAAAAGGCGAGGACAGAGTCCAAAGCGGTCGTGTTGAAGGCCCGAGGCCAAACACTGTCGTCCCTCAGCTGCATCACATCTCCACTCAGCTGCACGGACCATTGTGTTCAAAATAAAAAATAAACACACCACCTCGGCTGAAACGCGGTGACCAGGAGGAAACAACACGCACTCTTCCTGACCCTTTTTTTTAATTTTAGCTCTGTTGTTTCCCTCACAGCCTCTTAGCGGGGGGATGCTAAGTCACTATTTTCTGGTTGTTTTTCAGTAATAGGCTCAAATCTTCTGTCTCAGTCTGGGGATGAAACAGCAGCTGACAAGAGCAGTTCCTCTCATGCACACGGGTACATTTAGCGCCGTAGAGGAGCCCGAAGTGTTTTCCTGTAAAAGAGGCTCAGAGAGGGAGACATGAAGAGGAGGAGGAGAGGACGATCAAAGAGAATAAGCGTTTATTACTCAAAGAGGAGAGGACAGACGGGGCACTTTCCTGAATCAGGAGATAATGGGAGATGTAGCAGCTCAGCTTGTGTGTACTGAATCCTGCGTCCTCTTGAGAAGAGACTCTACGGCCTGACTCAGGAGTCTCCTCGGCCTGAGTCAGACCTCCTTTGGTTTGAATAGAATTGGTTAAGTTGAGTTTGTTTACGAGCTGCAGGACGGCATTCATCTGTTTGTGTGTGAGCCGTTAGCCACACGGCAAACCTCGACCAAATCACCTGTCAGGTTGTCAAAATGATCAACACTCTTCGATATCGAAACAACAAAAGCTCAGTCTGTGTCTGAAACAACAGACTACATACTCAAACAATACTGCATACTAACCCGAGTGTTAGCATGTCATTAGCAACATGCTAAACTACAGCTCAGGTGAGACAAATTTTGCAAATGACAGTAGGAAACCTCCCTAAGGTTGCCCCAACTGACAGCACTCCCCCTCCATGCCCTACACATGAGTTTCTGCTGTGAGAACTAAAGTTTGTTGATGAAAGTCAGCGACGCAAAATGAAGAGGAGTGATCTGTGTGGGAGTGAAAAAAAGAAAGAGGAAGACGAGTTAAGAGTCGGGACACTGGACCCCCAGTAAACGCTCAGGGTACGCACACGTACGCACTAACCCTGCAGTGGGCGTGCACTCCTGGGGGGCGATGAGCCCAGGAGGAGGGGCCTACTTTGAATGTTGTGTTTCTACTGACTCCACCTTTAAGGCTGAATCTTTCCTCACTTAGCAGAAAGAAAGAAAGAAACGAGAAGGACAAAACAGAGAGCAGGAGAAGACAGCTGAGTGCAGAGAGGCGAGCATGCGCGTCTCTGATGCTCACGTAACCAAAGTGAGCCGGTCCCTAATGGATGGGCAGACAAGGATATCACCCCAGGGCCCTGCGCTCCGTCTCAGCCTCCTGCACAACCTTCACCTTCATTATCTTAATCAGTCACCCGCTTGTCGCCCCTCTCTCTCTCTCTCTCTCTCTTCCCTGCCTGTGACTTTGCCGTGTTAACGTTTCCACAGTGACATGTTTGAATCCATCTTTTTGCTTTTTGGAACAACACTGTCGTTTCATTCATTATTTAAGAGTCTGACGACCACTGGGTAACATTAACTCCATATGCCCCCCCATGTGTGTGTGTGTGTGTGTGGGGGCTCAGGTGTGTCACAGTAAGAAACCCCGCTGAAATAAAAGCCGCTTTAATTCCACATCAGCGGGGAGAGAGGAGTCGCTGCAAGAGACTGAGCACTAAATCTACGGCTGATGTCGCTGCAGAAGAGCCCCCCCCTGTCGCCTCCCCGTGCTTTAATGTCAGCTCAAATGTTCTGCCTGTTGACATCAGAGTGACTGAACAGACCCATTATAAACACAAAGGGAAGTGGGTCCTTTTATTAATTATTTGTTTTATTTATTTGTGAACATCTCTTAAAGCGAGGTAAACCCTTCATGATCATCAGACCGAAACACTTTCAGCTGACGGCTTTTCAAGTCTGGTTCTGCTCAAGGTTTCTGCCTCTTGAAGGAAGTTTTTTCTCGACAATGTAAATTCACTGAATGTTGTTAAGGTCTGTCTTCATGGTGGATTAATGTCGGTCTCTAATTTAAATTTTGCACTTTAAACGTTTGACGGTCCTAATCTACAGATGTTCTTTCTGATTCTCCACTGGATCGAGTTTTGAATGATCTGATCAGCTCGGAGGAATGTTGACTTCAGTCCTTAATATCAAACATGTTTGATGTGTATGGTCCGAACCCCGAGGCCAGCTGAGCTCGCACTCTGAGGACCACGGTTCATTTTGGCGGCTTTTTTAGATTTAGTCTTTGGAAGAAAATGTTTTCTAGTTTCAGTCACAAATTCGATTTTTAAATTTTATCCGATGAAGACGCAGAAGAGTCACAAACACTTCAGCTCGTCAGTCCTATTTTAACCAAAAGCTGCCCCCCCCCCCCAAAATCATCGTGTTGTGTGCAGCGGGGACTCACTGAGACCGCCCCACCAGGGAGGATGAAGCCGAAACCGGGGGATAAAAAAGTCAAAGTCAGAAAAGTCAAACTACAAATTTCTTTTAAACAGAGAGGCGTTTTCCTTCAAAGTGATGACGTGGAAAAACAGCCAATCAGTGGTAGTCTTGACCAGTCTGGATGTAAAATCCAGAATCAACCCAGTCTGAGACCGAGACCAGACCGAGACCTCCAAAAAGTGGTCCCGAGACCAAGACCGCTTTCAGGTACTACATCACCAGTGTCTAGCAATTAAGTCGCCATGGTGACGCCGTGTGTGATTTTCAGTGTGTCAGCGAGGTGTGATGTGTGTATCTCACACACACACACACACACACACACACACACACACACACACACACACACACACACACACACACACACACACACACACACACACACACACACACACACACACACACACACACACACACACACACACACAGCACCATCCTCCAGGCTGTGATTTTTACACTTCAGTTACACCGCCAACGACGGCGCCCCAGTGGATCCACGACCTGCGACCTTTGACCTCTGTGACTCTGACAGCAGCTGTATCAGGTTTGACTTGAAGAAGCGACATTTAACGGGCTAGCATCCAAAGCAAAGTGTCCCTCAAATAACCCACCTGTCGTCAGACCTCAGGGAAAAACAACAATCAGACATGAACGAGTCAGAAGGAAAAGAAATCAACTCTCTGATTGATAAACGTCGGACGGTGAATCAGCGAAACAGAAGGTCTGCTGGAAATGTCAATCTGATGAGTCAGGGGCTTCATCTTATCCTCAACGTGATGTCACACTCACATCAGGTCAGCACAACACAATAAACACAAACAACACAAGAAAACAAACACAAGAAACTAAATAAACACAAGAAACACAACACAAACAACACAACACAACACAACACAACACAACAAACACAACACAAACAACACAAGAAAACAAACACAAGAAACAAAATAAACACAAGAAACACAACACAACACAAACAACACAACACAAGACACACAACAAACACAAATCAACAAACAAACCACAAAAAACACAA